TCGCCACCTCGGCAACCCGGGCGGCCTGCCCAGCAGCCTGAGTCACCGCCTCGGCAGCCTCTCCTGCCTATGGAAGACAGCCCTAGGTCAGAAAACAGAAAAAGCACAATAGAAGACAACAAAAAGCCGAAGAGACAAGGCACTCACCACCTCGGCGGGTTGAACAACCTGCTCAGCAGCCTGAGCTATCTCCTCAACGGCCACCTGAGGATTTCTCTCTTAGAGAGTTCTTCCTTTGCATTCTGTGCCATGAAACTTGATTCATCATGTCAGACAGAGAACTTTCAAGAACAATAATAACTATTTTGTTCTGTTCCCCTCCTCTACCCCATTGCTAAATTTTCTGGTAAAGTGATAGAACACCTAATTGCATTACAATTTACAAAGTGAACTAAGAGGGTTCCTTGAAAATACATGCATGTAAACTGCCAAATGTTTCATAATACTGAACTGATTTCTCACAAATAAGGTTCAATTCAAGAAAATTTACAGAACATAATTTTATTAGCAACACAATATTGCAGCAAAACTAGAAACACACTGCTGCACAAACCCACAGTAATATACAGTTATATATCAATTTTAAAAAACTTCTGGCATGAGAGAAACAAACCCATAGGCCCGTGTGTGTGTATACGCTAAAATACAAATCATTTCAGCAAGATACTCAAACGACTTAAATAAAAGATAAACAATTATGCTAGAAAAGTACAGAATATATAAAGAATAGGCAGGGTAATCTTACCTCTGGAACATGGATGAAAACCAACCCTTGCTTTTGGCATCAGGCTTTCTGTTCTTCCCCACATCCTCCTCGTCCTCCTCTTCACTTTCACTGCTAACAATCTCTTCTTTATCCATCATACTTTCACCTTGATCTGCAGCCACAAAATCTATGTTCCTGTCCCCATCCTCACCAGCATGATCAGTAAAGTCCAGTTTAGTTTCCTTAGTTGCAGCATCATCCCAAACCCTATTTTTTTTTGTAACTTTCTTGTTTGGTTCTGCCTTGGAGGCCTTGGCAACAGTATCTGCCTTCTTCCCACCACCTTTAGTCCTAAGCTTCTGAAGCTTATGTACATCAAAAGCCCCAACATTGGGACTTCCATTCTCCCTACCATTCACATCACTAAGGTTAGCATCTTTAGCAACAAAATTGCCATTGGAGTGTCCATTCTCCAACTTCCTACCATTAGCATCATCACCATCACCACCACCACCATCACCACCACCACCACCACCACCACCACCACCACCATTCTTCACCACACCACCACTCTTCTTCTTATTCCCTCCCTCAAATCCCAACTTATTGTTACCCTGCACCTGCTTCTTCGTATTCCCAGCAACAGGATTCAAATTGGAACGCTTCAAATCCTCAGCACGAGCCAGGGCCTCCATCTTCAACTGCCTAAAAGTCTCATCAAAATCAGGGTATGCAGTCCTTTTGGGATCATAAACCTGCGAAAACTCCCGCTTCACCATAGCAAGCAGATCCTCCACATACAAGAGGTGAAGGATCCGTTGGTACACAGCCACAAACACAATGCCAAGTTCATTGTGGAAGGTCCACTTGAGGGTGTAGGAAGCACCAGGGGCATCATAATTGTACGATGCCGCACCAGATCGCTCCTCCAAAAGGCAGGAACGGATCAAGGTATCAATCGGTGAACCTTTCAGAGCGTTCCCAAGTTCTTTACAAGTCCACAGGATTAACCCTCCTCTTGTAAATATCAGTAACTGCTCTAACATCCTTGATAACTTACAATTCTCCTGTAATCAATCAATAACAACAACTAGTGAATTACTTGAGCAAAAAAAAAAAGGAAATTTTCATGTTCGGAAAAACCTAGAATCTAACACCCATGAAACACAATCACGGAAAATCATGCTTTTTTTCGTTTGTCGTGTGATTCATTATTACGTTGGACAAATCAAGACAAAAGGGATTCGATCGAAAGAACAAAGAAAAACATCGCGGTGATGGGAAGATACCTGTTGTTGTTGCTGTGGTTTCTCGGAGCTGTGTGAGAAACGCGTTTCACGAGAGTAGAGAGAAAAATTTAAAAAGAAAAAGAAAAAGAAAAATGAAATTCGAGTTTCTGAAAATCGGTTTATACTTATAGTTATAATATACGGATGCACGATATTTACAGTTTTACGCGTGCGCTTAGCTAATTCTTTTTGGACATATTAATGATAATATCATAATTCTTTGACTGTTTTTTTTTCTTCTTTTGACTACATATATGATAATTCTTACAATAAGTTATATAATATTTTTTAATTTCTCTATTTTATATATCATTAAATAATTTTATCGTACATTTATTTTTTCTTTTATTAATTATAAATTTTCGTGTGAAAGTAAAAATTTTCCTCTTTTTCCCTGCCAATTAAAGGCTTAAAAGAGAAAAATAGAATCCCATCTTTTAATTTTCAAAAATTTAATTGAGATATTAAATATATATATAAAAATTTATATTAATAAATAAATAAGTATAAATAAATAATTAAATTTTATAATAATTATCTTAACAATCATCTCAATAATGATTTTTTGATTATATAATTTTTTTATTTGATGCATGATAATTAAACTTAAAATTTATTGTTAAAATATATGTCATTTTACAATATATATATATATATATATATATTAAAGATTATATTTGATGATACAGAATCTTATAGAAAAGACAACATCATAATTTTGGTGAAGAGAAAAGAACTATTAGAATATGTTTGAATAGAGAATTTAAATGAAGTAATTTATATTTTTAAATAATTTTAAATATTTTTGGATAAAATATTTTATTTGGATAAAAAATTTATAAAGAATTTGAAATCTAAGAATTTGTGAAATTTCTTATATGTTTGGATGAGAAATTTTAAAAATTTAAGGAATTTAAAATTTGAATTACTTTAATTTTAATTTTTATCATTCTTTAAAAGTTTTATTTAGATAAACCAATTCAAATTTTTAATTTATATATGATAATTTGATTTTCAACATATGTACAATTGATTTTAAATATATATATATATATATATATATATATATATATTGAGATTTTAAGATTAAAATTTATATAAAAAATATTAGTCAATTTTTAAATATTTAATAGTTTTAAAAATTAATATTTGAATATTCAATAATTAAAAAAATTATTGCGTTTATATGTTGACTTTAAAAGAGAGGTGAGAGAGGTAGGAGAAAAACAAAATGAAAAAAAGAAGAAAAGACAAAATAAAAAGAGGGAGAGATGAAGAGAAAAGAGAAATAGGGGAATTGAGAGGAGAAAGAAAATAAATAAAAATTAGAGAGAGAAGAAAAAAAAATTAGGAGAGGAAAAAAAAGAGGAAAATGAGAGAGAAAGGAGAAAGAAAATAGAGTATGAAGGATGGGAAAGTGAGAAACAAAAACAAACATAAGAGATAAGAGATAAAAGATATACAAGTAGGGATGACAACGGGGTCTGTGAGGGCGAGTAGTAGATATATGTACCCTCCCTATCATATAAAAACCAGCCTCAAATCTACCCCATATTTGCACGGATATCTGTCTAGCGACTATCACGAATTTTATAAATATCCGTGGGTATCCATAGATATTCATGGATACTTGTGAATTATTTTAAAAATAAAAAGTATTCTAAATAACTTTAAGTTTATATTTGATGTTAATTTTATATTGTGAATTATTTCTTAAAATTCTTATTTTAATTAAGGTTTAAATATATTTTTAGTTTCTCAAATTTAAAACTTGTTCTTACCGGGAATCCGAGGTAGGGATGATCCGCTGGGTAAGATCGGTGAGCCTCCTTCACTGGTACGTTGATGCTCCAAGATGGGGGTGGTACCTGCAAAAGAGACTCCGATGCTAAAGTTAGTGTTTGTGGGTATATGAGTCTCGTATAAGTAATGCACGTACCTTTGTGTGTATTAGGATTTTGTTGGGCATTGGGCCCGAGATCAGTTTATGACCTAATTGGATAGCGAGCCGATGTCACCTAGCGCGTGTCTGAGGTTACTCCGCGCTGTGATGCCGAGCTCGAGCTCGGCATAGCAGTACGGATAGTACACTAGCCCCCCGAGCTCCGAAGATCGTAGGTCGAGGAGTTAAGACCGAGCTCGACAAGGGGTCGTGACTTTTCGCGTACGCCTATTTGTCATGACGCCATGTGTCATAACCGTCACCTCGTTCCCATAACGCATGGGCGGCGCGGTGACAAGATTGTATTTTTATTTGTTTGATGACGTGACCTCTTTGGGCCGATGTGGTGTTCCGATGTCCATGTTTCATGGTCGGGCTGAGGAGCTCGGCAATAATAAGCTTACTGCTTGGTTAGGCTGGTAAACCTTTGACCGAGTCAGCAGATTGGTGAGGGACAAGTTGGCAACTCGGCTGGCCAGTACACTTTCCCCCCAAGCACCGAGTGATGTAAGAGCAAAGGGGCTTCTGAGGAGTTCCCAAATTTGTTGTTTGAAGGTTCAAATTCGACCTTGTTAAGTAGATGTGATCTCAAGGTTCGGACTCGACCTTGGCATATCAAGGTTCGAACTCGACCTTGGTTAAGAAAATGTGATCTCAAGGTTCGAACTCGACCTTGGCATCAAGGTTCGGATTTGACCTTGGCAACGTAATTTGTATTTGAAGGTTTGAACCCGACTTTAACATCAAGGTTCGAACTCGACCTTGGCAAGTCGTCATGGTTAATGTGCCAATACCGAAAATGTATAAGAATGGAGTTGCTTTGTTGATTTATTTCTGAGGTGTGCCTCGTTAAAACCTTCCTTGGCCAAAAACCCTTTTCTTTAGTGGGAAAAAAGGCTGAGGAGGAAAAATAGTACATCACCTGAATTTACAAGTTAAGAGAAATAAAATTTGAGGTGGGTGGAATTCCAAGTTCCAAATTTTCCTTTGGAGGGGTCTGTTCTTGCTTCTCCCCGTAATCGCCAAACAAGGTCGCCAACTTTAAATGTTCCTCGCGAATTGCCTTGCGGAACTCGGCATGCTCCTCCATCTGGATGTACCCAGCAGCGCGAGCTCGGAGCTCGTCCATGTCGCGGGGGGCTTCACGGCACAGACTATCGACAAACGGTCCCGGCTTGAGTGCCATGAGCATGGCGTGTAAGGCGACTTCGGGATTCAGGTTCTGAATCTTCACCGAGATGCCGGCAAAAGCGTTCCATGAACGTCCGCAGTGGTTCATCGTCGCCCTATCTGAGGCTGGCCAGAGCAGCCGACGTCATGTGGTGAGGTCGACTCGTTGCGTACTGCGCTGTGAATCGTCTGACCAGGGTGCCGAAGCTATCAATTGACTCGGCAGGTAGCTGAGTGTACAAGTTGAGTGCAACCCTCTTGAGCGAGGTTGGAAAGACCCTACACAGAATAGCATCCTCATTAGTGTAAAGGTTTACCTGTGTAGTATAGAGGTCGATGTGCTCGTCCGGGTCCGTCATGCCGTCATAACGGTCGATGTGGAGAGGCTTCCACCCAAAGGGGTGGGGTGTTTCCATGATGCCATCCACAAAAGGATGACGGCGGAAGGTTGCTTGATTTCCCGTGACGTGTGCGGGGGCATTGCTGATCTCATGGGCCGACCTATTTGTCGGCGCGTGTGATCAATGTGTGGCAGGCTTTGGAGTCGGTGTCCTATGCGCTGTTGGCGGTTGAGAAACCGAGTGCCCCTCTTCCTCGTTTAGGTGACTCGGTTGAGGGGGTTGATCAGAGGTGCGCCGTGGTAGCTGAGCGCAGATACGCTCATTCTCGGCACGCAGCGCCGCTAGGTCTGCTTCATTGGCGATTTGCATCGCGGCTAGGTCAGTTTCGTGCTTGGCACGCATGTTTTGCAGATCGGCGGTGTGTTGCTGCCGCATCTGCTCGACCTGCTTGATCAACCTTTTCAATGCTACTTCATTGTCCATGGTAGTTGCGTGATCTAGGTCATCTGTTGCGCGTCTGCTATGGCTTCTGGTAAAAACCATAAGCGTGGCCGATAAGAGCTGTCTTGATCGGCCCCACGGTGGGCGCCAAATGTTCTTACCGGGAATCCGAGGTAGGGATGATCCGCTGGGTAAGATCGATGAGCCTCCTTCACTGGTACGTTGATGCTCCAAGATGGGGGTGGTACCTGCAAAAGAGACTCCGATGCTAAAGTTAGTGTTTGTGGGTGTATGCGTCTCGTATAAGTAATGCACGTACCTTTGTGTGTATTAGGGTTTTGTTGGGCCTTGGGCCCGAGATCAGTTTATGACCTAATTGGATAGCGAGCCGATGTCGCCTAGCGCGTGTCCGAGGTCACTCCGCGCTGTGATGCCGAGCTCGAGCTCGGCATAGCGGTACAGATAGTACAAAACTATTATTTTTAGTTTCTGTAATTTTCAATTCAATTCACTAATAACATATATGAAAATGATAGATTGAGATAATTATGCAATTTTAGTTGGTTAAATGTAATATATCCTTTCACAAAGAATAACACCAATAAATAGATTTTATGCAATAGTATTTGACGGATTCCGTAAAAAAAAATAAGTATAAGGACTAAAACAAGATTTTTTGAAATTACAAGGATTAAAAAACCAATTTTAAATTTAAGGGACTAAAAATAAATTTACCTTAAATTTAAAGGATTAAAAACATATTTAAGTTTTTAATTAAATAACTAAATTATTTATTTTTAAAACTTTATATTTGAATAAAACATTTAAAAAAATTATTGAAAAAATATTTTATTTAAAATAAACAAAAATTCATTTATAATTTATATTATTTAAATAAAATATATTTTGTTTCAATTTTTTACTTAATGTGAAAGTGATTTTAACATTATTGCTAACTACTTTATACTAATATGAGCAAAACTCTTGATATTTATTACAATAAATCTTAATATCAATCTCCAGGCTTTACAAAATAAAATAAAGATTTTAAATATCAACATTTACAAGAGTGTTTGATGACATCTTGTCCACCAAATTCCAAAGTATCACACATACATAAAAAATAGAATAAAATCAAAAGTCCACTAAAAATACATTCTCTAATCAAAGTTTCACTAGTAGAAAAAGGGTAATTTACGTCATTGTATTCTCGTCGGATAAAG